CAGGGAACGTAGGACGGAGCGTTGGGCTCCCCAATGTTCACCGGAACTTACCCAGCACCCATTCAGGGACCTACTGGGAATGGGGCAATAAAGGTCTTCTTTGATACTATCTGCCACAGTCACATCCTTTGTCCTCACCACAGCCTGGCAGCATGACTTAAAGTCTTGTCTCTTGTAATTATAGATAGTAGAGGCTTGATAAAATGAAATCTAAAGTCATAAGACTGGAATGGTGTCAACAGCAGAAATGTCTCTGTCACCTGATGTGAAAGATGCCCCCAGCCTCAGTACCTTTTGGCTGAGACCTTGGCAAACATACAGCCATTTACATGTGACTCACCAGAAATGTGAACTTTCTTGCCCTTTTGTGCCCTGTGGGATTTAACAAAGCAGCAATGTGACCTGACCCCAGTGGTTTTCTTTTGGCCAGAATCCAAGTCCCCCGGCAGTGCTGGACTTCCCACATGCATTCCTGCCAGCCCACCACATGGAACTACAGGGCGGTCCTCTCTGCCAAGCCTGTCTAACCTCCATGCCTTTGCCCAGGCTGTTTGCTCAACCAGAAGTTCCTTTTTTCCATACATACACATATTAATAAACTTCAGTTCATTCTTCAAGACTAAGATAAAATATCACTGTATCACTCCTCTGACCACCTATTTCCCCCAAATTGGATGGAGTTGGTTATTCCTAACCCTTATACCAATGCAGTGAGGTTATTTATGGATTTCCCACTCAGTCTACTGAAGACAGAAACAAAATCTTGTTCGTATTTATGTCCCTTTTGACTCATATAGTATCTGCACCTATGATTTGCTATAGTATTCTACACTGTAGGTGTATAATGAATGAATAGCTGAAAGCTGGATATTTGCAAGGCATCTGCTGGCCAGTGGGTCAGCCAGGATGCCTACAGGCAAAGGCACGTGCCAGAAACCACTAGTGGAGACTTTTGTGGCTGAACTGTTGAAACAGTGAAAGGTTGTTAAAGCCTTGGGGTAAGGAAATGGCATAAGGAAGTAGTACTTTGGATATATTGTTTGAGGGTATGGGGTATAATGATGTTAAAGGAAGAAAACATATTCATTCTATAGATGGTAAAACTGAGGTTTAGGGAAGTTAAGTGATTTTCCAGAGGACACACAGCTAGTAAGCAAAGGAAAGTGGTTTAGAACCTAGATCTGGTTTCAAAGTTTGCCCTCTTAAATAGTATGCAAAAACTCAACCAAATCTGCATATACTGCCTTGAACTAGTATCCTTTAATCTTCAGGGAATTCCCAACTGTGTTAAGTTTGATGCCATTATATCCACTAGACCTCACTGGGTCTCAGCTTCCTCTTCAGTAAAATAAGGAAAATTGAGCTAAGTGACTCTAAGGCCACTTTTAGGCTCTGAGATGCTATGATTCTCTGTAGAAAGCAAATGGACTTTCTAACCTGGAAGTTAGCTTGGTCAAAACATAAGCACACTTGTGTATTGAGCCTGAAAATTCTTCTCAGGTATTGCAGTCGTAATTCTAATATTCACAAAGAAAGCTGTGAACTATTATCTTAGAAGTCTAATCATTCTTCCCAAATGAGTATTCAGAATACACTCAGGCATCTACGTTTTCTGAACTCACAGAAAGTTCCTGTTTATCCGAAGTCTACTTAAGTCACAGCAGTTTCCACTCATTCTCCATGCTTTCCGTGTTATTCCAAGTCACACTGAAATAAAGTTCAGTATTGCATTACCCACACCTGTGGCACCCAACCTCCAATCCGCCTGCCACCTCACCGTCACACACGTCTCAGTCAAGCACACATGCACTTCTCTGACTTCAGGCTGAATCGTAGGGTGGAACACATCTGAAAATGTCTGTGTGGTTCAGAATGAACTCTGAAAACTTTCCACCCATACCACTGAATAACATCCTGTTGTTTTGGCTTTTCTTTTTTCTATCAAATCTGTGCAATAATGCCTTTGATTTGGCTTTCACTTGGAATGATCTGCCTGATGCCATTTTCCTGAAACATTCAGAACCGGATACAATCTCATCATAGTCAGCTACATAAAGTAGACCTTTCAGAGCATAAAAAAAAACATCTGTCCTCCATCTGTGGTGCCTGAAAAATAGGACTTCCAATAGAGCACTGTGTAAGATGCTGGTGCTTTTAATGGGCAAGAAATCCACTTCTGACTAAAATCTCAATAAATATATCTAACAGAATATTTTCATCTTACATACTGTCTTTCAAAGAGCATTTCAAAGGCCACTATAGCAAAGTGGCTTATTAAGAACATAGTCTCTAGACTCAGCCAAACCTGGTTCAAATACTTGTTCTGTGATATACTGGCTGTGTGACCTTGGAAAGTGATTTAACCTTGATAATTTTAGGTTTTCTCAGGGATGTAAAATAAAATGCTAGCATCTACCCTGAGAGAGAATATTTTTAAAGAGACTGGCCCATGGTACAGCAACAAATAAACATCAGCTGCTGCTCCTGTTTTGTTATTGCTGTTAACACTAGGAGCAGAATGGCCTGATTCCTGATGCGGCTAAATGAACACGGGATTTGGAATTAGAAAACCTGAATTTGCACTCTACCATTGCCACTGACTAGTCAGATGACCCTGGGGAAATCACTGAATGCTTCTCAACTTAGCTCCCTCATCTGTAAAACAGGGAAAATAAAAATAGCCACCTCACAGTTAACAACTGTGAGGTTCAAATAAGGTGATTTATGTGAATTTCCTTTGCCAACTTCTAAACTGTGTATGTATACATTATTTGGTGATTGTTAGTGTTATGGGCTGAATGTTTGTGTCTTCCCCCAGAATTTATATATTAAATCTCTAACCCACCATGTGAGGGTATTAGGAGGTGGGGCTTTAGGGGTAGTTAGGTTTAGATGAGGTCACAGGGTGGAGCCCCATGTTAGAATTAGAACCCTTACAAGAAGTGACTAACAGCTCACTCTCTGTCTGTGTGTGTCATGTGAGGATACAGCAAAAAGTCAGCCGTCTACAAGCCAGGAAGAGGGCCACCACCAAGAACTGAATCTGCCAACACCTTGATCTTGGACTTCCTAGCCTCTGGAACTGTGAGAAACAAAGTGTCTGTTGCTTAAGCCCCCCAGTCTAGGATACTTGTTATCACAGCTCAGACTGACTAAGACCATTGGTAACAATACCAGAACTGAAGAATGTATCTAATTTTCTTATTCAGGAATTTTTATTTACAAAAGCCTTAGTGATGTGCTCAAGTAACTATAGCTGATTTCCACTTAGTCACAGAAATGAGGACTCTTTGCATGGACTAAGGTAGCCTCAGGTACAGAACATCTGCTTTTCCCAACAAAGCTCTGTATACTCACCTTACACCTGGTCTCTCTGAATGTTTAAAATGTGTCCTTTCTGTCAGTGATGGGTCAGGAAAAACTATAAGGAAATTAAGAGAAAATTTTTAAAAATGTGTCCTGGTCGATTGCCAATATATCTGAAAAGTGGTGTTTTGGGATCTTTGGGGTGTCACTTTTCTGGCTGGAAACCTCTGTGGCGGGTGGTGCCTTTGCCGAGTTTTGCTTGGTGCTCTAGGCTTGTTCTTCCCACTCAGCCTGGCAGGCTGCACTCAGCTCACACTACCAGCCTGGCAGGCTGCACTCAGCTCACACTACCAGCCTGGATCCCATGACCGGATCCCATGCCCTCTAAGGAAGACTGAGTCAGGCGTGAAGTGGCAAGGGGTGTGTAAGCAAGCGTGGGGTCTGGCCACTGTGCTGTTAGACAGGCTGGCTACTGCCACAAAACAGGCAGCTCCAGGTGCTAGCACAGGCACTGGTTTTCTGTGAGGTTGCAGCTGGATCAGGTGCACCACAACCAGCTTCCCCAGCTGGCATCAGGGAATGTAGCTGAACCCAGAAACTTGGAGACGCCAGGAACTACGGAACCCCAAAGAGGGAGTCAACGCCCTGGCTCAGGGAGCTCTCAGATCTGGGCTCCCTGAAGGGCCACAGCTCTTCTCTCCTTTTCACCCACAATATGGCAAGCATGGGGCATGTTTCAACCCTGTTTGGGTTACAGTTCTTTTAGTTTTGCCATTTGGCAGCTCCTGAGTTCTTGACCTATGCCAGGAAGAATGAGGTGCACAGAGAAGTGGAGGGTGAGCAAGACAAAAAGGAGCTTTATTGAGCAATAGAACAGCTCAGAGGAGATCTGCAGTGGGCTGCTCCTCTCCATAGCCAGCGTATCTCAACGAGTGTTCAGCTGTCATCAGAGAGGGAAGCTCTTCTCTGCTGGGCAGGTCATCCCAACGATTATCTAGCTGTCAGCAGAGAGGGTAGTTCCTCTCTGCAGCTGGTCATCCCATTGTCTTCTCAGCTCTCAGTGGACAAGAGTCCCTGGGGTGGGCAGCTTCTCTCTGCAGCTGGTGGTCCCATCATCTCACCCTCCTCTCTCTATCTTTTCTCTGTCCTCTGCCAGAGTCTGGCTGAATCCAGGGTTTTTATGGGCTTCACAGGGGAGAAAGTATGTGCTGATTGGTCCATGGGTGGCCATGGGCGGGCCCAGGGAAAAGCACCACAAGTTCTCCCTCCAGTCCCTGGGACTGGGACCCTGGCCCCCAGGCTTCAGGTCCTCCCTGGTTTGAGGGTGGGGCTTCACTAGGGACCTGTCCACTTCTACCCAGGAGCCTGTCTGCCTCCTGCTACTGTTCATGACACCCAGGCTGTTCATGTCAAGGAGCATGGGCAGGGCCAGGACTGGGCTGTTCTCAGCACCCTCCTTTGCCTCCCTCCTGTACTTGTCAGTGCCCAGAGTCCAGAGGGGACTGAGGTGCCAGGGAGCTGGCATGTCAGCACTGCCCCAAGTGTGTGTATACCCAGCCGGGCTGTGACAGTGCCCACATTTGGCCTCAACTCCACTCTAGGATTGGAGCCAACAGCAGGGAAAGGCCAGGCAGTAGGAGCAGACACCTTCAAGCCCATGAGGGGTAAGAGGGGGGCTTTCCAGACCCCTGAGAATGCAGAGATGCCAACCCAGGTGGCTGTAGAGGCGCCTGGGAGGGTGGGGCTCCTGCCTGCTCCTCGCTCCTGCCAGCTCCCTGGAACGCAGCACCGCCCTTGGTCCAGCTCCACCTCAGGGCCCCTCTCTGCCTGCCCCTGTGCCCAACTATGCTGCCCCCACACCAGAAGGCAACTCAGCTCAGCCCCATCGTGGAGGCTCTCAGGGGCAGGCTCCAGGGACTGTCCATCACCTCCCCACACCTCTCCACAGTGGCAGTGGGCAAGAGCAATGACACAGCGCCAGGGTACAGAGTGGCAGAGGCTCCGGGCCCGAGGTGGGTCCCGCCTGGCTGCAGCCGGTGGTACAATGGCAGCAGCTGCTCGGGATGGCCCACCACTGCCATCAGCGGTAAGACAGAAAAGGGCTGTCAACTTTCCTACTGGGTGTTGTTTTGATGTGGTAAATGTTCATTTTTCAGACTGTATCTCTCTTCCCTTCCTAGCGCACTCAAAACAACTAGCAATTCAGCTACTTTCTGCCCTTCTGGGTACCTGATCATCTCTTTTGTCCATTTTGTAGTATCGAAGTCACTGGGCTGGGGATTTTGACACCAGCCAAACTTAAATTTGAATCCTGACTCCTCAACTTTCCAGCTGTGTTATCTTAGACACATCAGACAACCTTTCTATACAGCTCAGTTTTCTCATCTGCAAAATGGGAAGAGTAATAGCCATGTTTCAAGGTGACTAAGAAAATAGAAACAACACATATAACATTCTTAGTCATATCTGACACCCAGTAGGCACCTGTCACCTTATCTTCCTTCTCTTGAATCTTCTTCTTGCCCACTTCTAACTCCCTATGCCTGATTATTGAGCCCTCCCTGGGGCCCTTGGTGAGATGATCACTAACACAATCAATGGCTAATATGAGCCTGTAAGAAAGCGTCCCTGGGAAACAATCAAATTTCTGAACTAAGATTCTTCTTCCAGGTCTTATAAACTCTTGGGCTTTTGGACATTCCAGTAAAAACAATAGACTACTACTAGATATATTTGCTAATTTAATAAAGTGTGAACTTGGATAGTCACAGAATGTCCCAGTAGATGCACAAAAAAACACCTGATAACACCATGTATATTTTCTCTGCTTATCTTTTTGTATTTTTTTGAATTTTGTACCATGTGCATATATTCCCATTCTAGAACTAGAAATACCATTTGACCCAGCAATCTCATTACTGAATATATACCCAAAGGATTATAAATCATTCTACTATAAAGACACATGCACACATACGTTTACTGCGGCACTGTTCACAATACCAAAGACTTCAACCCAAATGCCCATCAGTGATAGACTGGATAAAGAAAATGTAGCACATATACATCACAGAATACTATGCAGCCATAAAAAAGGATAAGTTCATGTCCTTTGCAGGGACATGGATGAAGCTGGAAACCATCATTCTCAGCAAACAGACACAAGAACAGAAAACCAAACACCACATGTTCTCACTATAAGTGGGAGTTGAATAAGGAGAACACATGGACACAGGGAGGGAAACATCACACACTGGGGCCTGTTGGGGGCTGGGCTAGGGGAGGATAACATTAGGAGAAATACCTAACGTAGATGATGGGTTGATGGGTGCAGCAAACCACCATGGCATGTGTATACCTATGTAACAAACCTGGACGTTCCGCACCCAGAACTTAGAGTATATAATAATAATTTTTAAAATGCTAGTGATGTTGAAGTATGCTTTTGCCAGGCATCGTAGTAGGAGCTCCCTAATGACCTGGAACCTGTTAATATAGGCTCCAAAACTTTCTAGTATACAGAGAAGAAAAGCTGTAGTTCTTGAAGCAGAAAACCACTGTCTGAGCCGGGAGAGGAGGTTCTTACTCTGTCTTCCTTGCCATAGAATGTTTGTAACCCTTTCCCTCGAGATTTGCAAAGTAAATCTTGTATTTGTCATCAATAATAGTAATGATCTACATTGAGAGCTTACTATGTGTGAAGCACTGTTCTGTGTATCTTCACAATTACCTCGAGTTAATTATTACACCAATCTTGTGAGGTGAGTTGTATTTTCATCTATATTTTACATTTTTAAACATCGAGTCTCAGAGAGTCTCCTAACTAGCAAGTGACAGAGCTGAGATTAAGAGCTGTTACTGTATAGGGTTGTTAAAATAGACATAGATTGTTATTAAAGCTAAATAAATTCATATATATAAAGTGCTTAGAACAGCACCGGCTGTGGTGCCTTCCCTATTAAGGACCAGCATTAGCATTCCTGAAGTCAGGGAGGGGCTTTGTAAATTAGAAACATAATCGAGTCAGTAAAAGTACCAACAGGTAATTTTAATAAACTGAATTGTAAATTAAGTCTCCACTTATTCTGTGACTAAAGGCTACACATTTTTCAAGATAGTTTCCACTTGTTTTTATTTTGTTGTTGTTGTTTCTGTTTTTATTTTCTATGTGTGCCATTTCCTAGAAGACATTCTGCCACTAATTCCAAGTTGTCTGTATCCTACTTTCAGCTTTTTTATGCTTTTTCGTCATAGAAATTTTTAACATAAAAATCAGAGAAAGGTAACATTTTTAAATGTAGCCATTAGAATGACCACCCATTCAAGCAAACATTTGTAGGTACGATATTGTTGGTATTACTGGATCTTTTATTGGTGGTTTTTGAGTGATGTTTCCACCTGTGGGAGGTAAAAGCAGGTGGACCACTAAAAACGTTTTTGATCCTGTCTCCAACATGTACAGGAATAGTGGCCACATATTAAGGTGCATGTGTGTGAGCTTGGATAGTCACAGAATATCTCCAGTAGATGCACCAAAAAACTTGCTTGCTATATAAAGCAAAAGAACAAGTAGTATCTGAACCTAATGGGCAGAAAACACACCATCTGTCAGCAGTCAAATATCAGGCTCAAACATATAAAGCAAGAGAGGAAAATACCCCCCAATTGCTGCCCTGTCCAATGTGGGTTAAATTATATATATTATTAAAATTAATTTCATTGATTTCTTTTTACTTTTTAAAAGGTGGTTACTAGAAAATTTTAAATTGCCTCTGTGGCTCGCATCTTATTTCCACCAGGCAGTACTGCTCTAGAATAAAATCTAAACTTTACCTAGACCTGACCCTTAAGTCTTCAGTACCTTAGAAACATAAAGACATAAAGTGACTAAATTCAAGTCTGGAAATAGGGACTTTACTATATACCTACTAAGAGTACAAAGATTAATAATGCAGAGTTCTTGTCTTTAAGAAAAAGAAAGTGAACTGAGATTCATAGAACCCTACTTTGAGCCAGGATGTGAACATCCCTGCAAGTTAGTATTATAATTTCCTCTGTATAACTCACTTCTAGCCTTTAATGCCTCCTCCATTCAGGACCCAAAAGCCTTCCTGAAACTAATATAAGCACAGACATTCTCTTCTCCATGGCCTTCTTTACACTCTTAGTCTTAAGTATCCTCTTTCCAACTCTAGCCTGTAACTACCCTAAAAAAAAAAAAAAAATGGTAAATGGGAGGTGGTGGTGGGGGTGGGATGTGTACTTTCTATATTATTTATTCCAGTGCCAGGACCATGAAATCCCATTAGATCCACTACAAGGAAATAATAGTGCCCAAGCTGGGAAAGCACAGAAACTGTTATTTACTTCTCAATCAGCTCAGCTTCTCACAGTAAAGCATCAGGAGAGATTACTCTTGTTTTCTCAAAGACAAAATCAGAGTCTCACTTCTGTCACCCAGGCTGTAGTGGCATGATCACAGCTCACTGCAGCCTCAACTTCCCAGCTCAGATGATTCTCCCACCTCAGCCCCTAGTGTAACTGAGACTACAGGCATGTGCCACACTTGGCTAACTTTTTGCATATTTAGGAAAGACAAGGTTTTGCCATGTTGCCCAGCTGCAGCCTGGATTTCTAATTGGCACCTCAAATGTAACATGTTCAAAACAGAATTCCAGAGTTCCCATCCCTTCCACCTGTTCCTCTTAAACTATTTTGCATGTCAGAAAATGGACACTCCTTTCTTCCCCGTACCCAGGCTAAAAGCTTTGGAGTTATTTCTGACTCCTCTCCCTTTCTTACCCGACATACAATCTGTTGCATATTCTTAAAACTCTACTTTCAAAAGAATGTGTTGACCAGAATGCAGCCACTTCTCACCACCTGACATCAATTACCCTGGTGCAAATCATCATGGAGTCTCCCTTTGATGACTGATAACATTCTAACTTTGTCCCCTGCAGTCTGCTCTTACCACAGCAGCTAGAATAACCCTGATACATCTTAGATCACGTCACCTCTACTCAAACCCTTCCAGTATGAGAGTGACAGTGACCACAGCCAAATTTTCTTTGGTGTTGCCCAAAGCTCTCCAGCCATACTGGACTCCTTGCTGTTCCTCAAAAACACCTGGTAATCTCCTAAAGCTAGGGCCTCTCCCAAAATGCTCTTTCTTCAGTAGCCACAAGTCCACCCTCACACCTCCTTCAGGTCTTTCCTCGACTGCCTCTTCGCAGTGAGGACATTTCCCTGATCAGCCTTTTTAAAATCTGTCATTGCCTTGTCCAAATACTCCCTGTCTCTGCATTATTATTCTTTATAACACTTACCACCAGCTGGCATAGTATTTCTTCTACTCATTTTTTACAATTTCTGTCCTCCAAAATAGAATATAAACCCCACAAAGGTGAGGATTGTATTCATTTATTGCTCTCTCCGTAGTTCCTAAAATAGTACCTGGCTCAAAATATACAATCAATAAATATTTATTAAATGAATGAATGAAATTTTCAGATGAGAAAAACGGGCAGGGTCTGGTGGCTTACAAGTGTAATCCCAGCACTTTGGGAGACTAAGGGGGGGCAGATCACTTGAGATTAGAAGTTCGAGGCCAGCCTGGCCAACACAGCGAAACCCCATCTCTACTAAAAATACAAATATTAGCCAGGCATGATGGTGTGCACCTGTAATCCCAGCTACTCAGGAGGCTGAGGCAGAAGAACTGTTTGAACCTGGGAGGCGGAGGTTGCAGTGAGCTGAGATCACAACATTGCACTCCAGCCTGGGTGACAGAGCAAGACCCTATCTCCAAAAAAGTAAAAAAAATAAAATAAAATAAAAAACACAAGAAAGAAAAAGAAAAATGAAGCATGGGGAAGTTCAGTTTTAGCCCTACACCAATGAACTATTAAGGTCAGGAGTCAGGATGAGAACTCAGGTCTAACTGACTCCTCCTAAGCTTGTGCTCATTCCACCTCTGTATCTGGTTCAGGAGGTTAATGGGGGGCTCCAATATCCAACTACAAGAGCTGACAGGCTGTAAAGGGCCATGAGGGAAGCACACACCAAGGTTCAAGTGTAAATCTTGCTAGAAATACTGAGCTAAAACAGAACAACACTTTTGGCAGCATTGTTGACAGTCCGTGAGATGAAGGAAAGTAATCTGAGGGCATCTGCTGAAACTTTCCAGTTTTAAGACTGGCTTTCACTATTTTTCTTTCAGCTGTAGCTTTCTTAGATAATGAATGTACCATATGTCTCTATCTCCAGGTTCCCATACAAATTAGGATACTAAAAATGCCAGATGATTAAAACAGATTTCTGCTTGTTTCCATGGGAAATTAACTGCTGGGAACCCTCAGGAAATGAGAGGAAGAGTGCATTCAGCCAAAGGTGTTCTCTGGTGAGTACGTGCACTCTGCTTGCAACCCAGGTACCAGTCCACAGACTGCTCAAAATTTTGGCCCAGGTGAAACACCGTCCTGAGCTGCCCGCCCTGCTGGTGGCCAAGTGAGACTGTAGAGATCACTGTGCCCTGTCCTACTCCCTTGTACCTCCACCACCAGGGGCTGGGCACTATGTGCCAGGCCCTTCATGTTAGGTCCCAGCTAACCGTGCCAGGAAGATTTACTAATGACAAAGAGACAGTAATGCAGGGTCCCAACCTCATCTGCCCAGTGTGAGTTCAGCATATTTTGAGCCTTTTAGCAGGTCTTCTGGAAGACATGGGGGACGTATCATCAAGGATTCTTGCTAGAAGGGTCACTTCTGGCTATCTACAACTAGTCAGAGTTCATTCTGGGGCGTGGGAACAGCGTTCTGTAAAGCACAGCCAAGTGTGCCCCGGGCAACTGTGCCAAGGATATCTCTAGGAGGTTGTGATGATTACTTGTTCCTGCTTGCCCCAGAATTAGCACCAATTTGCCTGAAAGAGATAACATTGAGGGAGGAGGCTGCAAAGAGTTTTCATTATTGTCTTGACAGTGAAAATCTCTGATTTGTCTCAAGAAAATTGGTTCAGGAGCTGACTCCAATCTAACATGAATGTTACTAAATCTCATCCCACCTCTTGCAAATGTAGGGGGAAAAGACAACCTTTCTTGGCTTTATTAAACCTGAGTGTGACTTGTGCATGCCATAATGAGGCTCAAAGCTGCAAACTAGGCAGTAAAGGAGAGCGCAGAGTTTAAATTTGGATTCAAACAACGCTGAATGATAATGCTTGTTCTTTAACTTACTATGAGATTTCAGGGAATTCTGAGCCACTTTGAGTGCCTACAAAGTGAGGATATTAATACCTACCCCTCAGGGAGGTTATGTCTTCATAAGCTTATGTTAAATAAGCGAATATAAGTTAAAAGCATTTGTTCTGAGCCTGCTAGGCAGTGGATACTTGCTTTGTGATTTTTCCTTTCTTTCCCCCGTTGCTATGTTTTACTGTCAAAATTGGAAACAGATAGCTTACTGAGCAATAGACAGGGTCCTCCCTCCCCCATACACCGCCATCACCAGTACCAGCACCTTGATTTTTCTCAGAATTACTATCTAGGATATAGAAAGAGCAGACAAATCCAAATCTTCACACAGCATATCCACTTACTTATAACTTATCATAGGCTTGGTTTCCTTTTTCTTTTTTCTTTTTTTTTGGCCTAGGTAGAATACTTTTTAGAGAAACTAAGTGATAAAGGACACTCATCTTTTCTGCCTAAATAAACCAGTGGAAGACCCTGGGAAATTAAGACCATGGTTCACAATGCAGTCTAAATGCCTTCGCCTAGGCTAGTCAAAATATGTTGACTACTCCTATCTTCAGATGACTCATGGGTATGATTCCTTAGCATGAGGCTGTCCTAACATGTTGTAGGTAAGCCAGATTAGAGGAAGCAGTTTTATCATTTTGTGGTCCTGAGCAGGCCATTAGTAAGTCAGTTTTTCCATTGCAGCAATGCTACACATAATCATGCTCTGGTGACTTGATCTACTTCTACAGATTCCAGTAATAGCTATTCAAATGTCTCTGTTCTGCTTCCACCTCAACTCAGTTATAACACTAACTACCAGAATTGGCCCAGATTCCACAGGTTGAGGGGTAGTGTCCTTCATGAGACTGCCCTCACTTAGGATGACAGTCAAGAATCTCAGGAGGTCCCAGGCAACTCACACTTCTGCCCAACTGGCTTCAAATTTAGTGACTCCTATGACCCTCTCAGGTTCAGTATTCACTAGAACAACTCACAGAACTCAAGAAAGCACAGGTTTGATCACAGCTTTTTTTTAAAATAAAGGCTACATCTCAAAAAGAGCCAAATGAAGACATATATAGGGCAAGGTCAGGGAGAGACCACACAACTTCCACACCCTCACCCTGTGGACTCAGTGCATACACTCTCTTGGTATAGCTATATGTTCATCCACCAGGAAGCTCCCCTGTGCCTTGGAGTCCATATTTTTTTAGGGTTTTCACCATATATATATATATACACATTTATATATACACATATTTATATGACTGATTAAATTATTGGCCAAATGATTGAACTCAGTCTCTAGCCCCCTACCCCTCATGGTTAGTTGACTTTTTAACTCAGGTCAGGCTGGCCCAACGTTTGAGTGTTCTAATCCCATGGTTGGTCTTTCTGGTGACCAGCCTCCATCCTGAAACTACATAGGAGGCTATGGTCAGCCACTTCATTTGCATAACAAAGAGACCTCTATAACTTAGGGAATGCAGAGGGTTTTAGAAGCTCTGTAGTAGAAACCAGGAAAAAAGGCCAAATACAGTTTTTATTATACCACAGTTTCCTACTGAGATTTACAAACCATGCAGGATGTGATTTTAAGTTTTTCCCTTTGGACAGCAGGAAGTTACTTAAAGCAAGGGGAAACTATATTGAGCAGCTACTATGGACCAACCATTCATTATATACGTGCTGAAAGCAGCACTTTGGGAATATAAATCAGACAATTGCATGGAAAGTTGTTTGGATAAAACTAAAATGGGAAGACTGGGAAGGAGACAGTCCCACTAGTTAGGCATAAAGTGATAAGAACAAAACTAGAGGAGGGACGTGGAAATGCAAAGGGAGGAAAGGAAGAGCTTAAGAGATATTTCCATCTTACCTAAAGTTTTTTCTCCATTGCAAAATACTACACAATGGTTTAAAACTGCTTGAAGAGTTAAAACTACTTTCTAAAGATAACAAAGTAATACAGATAAAGTGGC